ACCACGGGGACTTATAAGATAACAGCCTGAAGAATACCATATTATTCTCAATTAGAGTTTGTAACCCTTATTAATTTCGATGTAGTTTGTTCACGGTAAACCTATTGCTTAACATTGAAGTAAATAATCATGGAGCTGAATATAAGCATGTATATCTATAAGAATAACACAATATTAGAAATCTTTGACCAATCGGGAACTACTTTTTCGTTACGAAAACTAATGCGTCTGTCATTTGACAATCTTTACGCAGTGATCTCCCCTTAAATCTTTCGACGTTAATGTGCATATGAAGGGAAGTAACCGCTTCAAAAAACGGACTACTTTCGGCATTTGCAATTAACAGCATCAGGGTGTGAAATTTCGCTACCATTATTTGTTTGGTCTGACGACCCAAACAAATAAAAACAACAGCTGTCGCCATGAAACCAAATTGATAGCATGTAATCAAAACCTCAGAGGCAACCAATCTTTTCCAGATTTTTGACTTTTTAACAATATCAAATTTGAAATATATGCAGTGATAGAAAACTGTGTGCAATACGTGTGTCATTCTAGGTATTTTCTAAAGACTAGTGTATACATGTAAAGCATTCTAATATGCGCAGAATAAACAAACTATGTATCGCGAACATTTTTACCGGTGTTGATGTAAATTGTGTATATCCACACCACAAAAAAACACTTTTAAAAGCAATTAAATGTATACAAGAACGTTGTAATTGCTTTAATGTATAGCAGATAATGTTAATTTATGCTGCCAAAAAACAAATCCGGATTTAAAATCGTCAGATTACAATGATCGTATTTCGTTTTAAAATAATTGGTGATATTGTATCGCACAATACTTCCTGTTGCATTTATCCAATAAAACGCCCCGCAAAGAAGTCCCAGTTGGGTAGTTAAAATGTTTGCTTTAACTCTGAAATCAAATAAGGGTGGATTCGGTGAATAACAAATTCTTTACAAATTTAATGACCAAGCATATTTGCGATGCATGCCGGCATTTTTGGGGCTTTTTTGTTATGCATGCATTCTTCAAATCACAGCTTTGTTATTAAACATGTAGAAATTATTTTGATAAAATCTATAACCATTTAACCAGTCCTGTATTGGGATAAACGAACTTCTTAGATATTAAGTCCCTGTCTACCAGTTAAGCGATTGGGAATTTCAATTATTTTTCTTTACAGCGTCGTATCTTGTTTGTGCAAGCGGACGGACATCAGTGTTGTTGTTGTTGTGGCTTTTCCTAACGATGACATTCAATCAACCAATCTAGTAAAGCTAGCTTAATATTCGTCTGTTGGAACTTCTTCAACTTTACAATTTAAGACCATACCGCGTTTTTCTTTTATCATTTAGACCTGAAGTAGATCTTCCGTTATCATAAACTTTTAAATTCTTTGTAATATCTGATTTATAAGTGTCCAACGATTTCCTGTATGTATACACTTGAATAACCTATTCAATCAATAACGTAATTTAAATGTGAATCTTATCTTAGATTACAACCTGTACAATGTCGAAAAAGTCACCCTGAAGAACGGCGTCATCGAACATACGGAGGCCGATCTGCTCCCTCCTATCGTATTTTTACCCCCCCCCCCCTTACTTGGCGTCAAACTAATACTTAATGAAATTTTAGTCTTCTTTAAAAAAATATTCTCACATTTTTTTCAAAAAATAAATAAATTAATTAATATTACCGCGGTATCACGGAGGACCACCCTATCAGATTTCTTTCGAAATGTTAATAAATAAAAAATAAAATACACATGTACATATATCCTCGAGGAATATACTAAATGAATTAGTTAATTAAGATTTACAGCATTACACATATATATATCATCACTCAACAATGTAAATGTATCTTATTTTGTTACAAAATGCGAAATTACTCACTCAAATGAATTAATAAATAATAGGCTTGGTCGGAAACATTCACATATTATCACGATTTCTTTTTTTCTTTTGAAGATACTTGTTTACACCAATTTTTTTTTTTTTCCATATTATTCGAATTAAAAGTATGTAATATCCTTAATTAAGTATGTAAAACCTTTAATTAAGTATGTAATATATTTAGTAAAGTATGTAATATCTTTAATTTAGTATGCAATTTCTTTAATTACGTTTGTAACATATTCAATTAAGTATGTAATATATTTAATTAAGTATGCAATATATTTAAGTTAGTATGTAATATCTTTAATTAAGACGATAGACCAGCTTCTAGTTAGGTAGACATTTTTGCTGTTCTTAGTAAAAATAAGGAAGCCGATTCAAACTGCTTTTTTATGTATAACCTATGTATGCATGTTACATTACATGCTGCTTTATAAATATGTCGAAGACTTTCACAAAATACTAGTACACGCCAAATAGAAGTAAAGCGTTCGAACGGTTTTCAAATATTCATGAAAACTGAAGATGATTTGTGCAAAACAATCACAAAATACCGATTGTTTTTCAAACATTTATACATGTATAGGTTCTACCGAAATATCATTTTGAGTCGACTTCTAAGTTCTATTAGAAATATACAATGTAAGTATATTTTAAAGGCCCATTATGCCTCAGAAGTGCTATCAATTTTACTTCTCAAAACCATTTATTTTTGGTATATTGTTAAAGTTTTAAAAAGGTTCTCATTTTCAATAAACATAATTTTTATGTACATGAAATATTTTTCTTTTCCTGCTTTTGCTTAGTCAGCTATCGGTATAATTCTAGTGAATAATCAATTAGTACCGTTATTTTGTATGGAAGTCAAAATACTAATTTATTTACATATTTTGCTACCTTCGTGACACATTACTGCACGGTCAGTGCTACATTCTTTAGTATTCAAAACATGTAACATGCTCTAAAATAATTATTTAAGCATAATTAAACACATGGTTGACATTTCTTAAGAATCAAAGAAATATGAATTTCTGAGGCATAATGCGCCTTTAAGAAAAGCAAAATGTTATACCTTTAAGTGGTGTGACTGTTGGTAAAGTTGGCTTGAAATAAAATCCTGCTATGTGACGTACGATATTAAGGCGTTATATTTACAAATTCAGGTGTTTCCCTCTTTTTTTCCAGCAGTCATGCATGATAGGAGGTTTATTATTGAACGCGTGCCTGATTTTGAAAGACAAATTTATGAAAATTTATTCTTATTTTGTCACACGGAAGGGATCGGGTGTTTATCAAGAAAGCTGCGTCATGTTTGTGGTATAACAAAATAATATGCTTTTTCAGTTTATTAACTAGTCATCAACATTTGATCGTGTCCTCTTATTCTATTTCTATGAATACAAATTTGTCTTAACGCAAATGTGTTTTTATTATTATGATGATGATGACGATGATGATGATGATGATGATGATGATGATGATATTGATGTTTAACAGTTAACAAAACTTGATCAGGTGCTCTAATTTCATTTATAAACGTTATCATAACCTGAATGAATTCCACAACACGCTGACAATAGCAATATTGATACATGTATCGTTCTTTACTGCAATATCTTCAATATTAGTTCTGATTGTACTGCTGATACTCCTATGACAGCTGTTCTATTGATTTGCATAGCACATTTATCATGTTTCCTAGAACAGTCACACTGGTGACCTAATACAGTCACACTGGTGACCATATACAGTAACCCTGGTGACCTAATACAGTCACACTGGTGACCATATACAGTAACACTGGTGACCTAATACAGTAATACTGGCGAACTAATACAATTACACTAGCAACATAACACAGTTACACTGGTGACCTTATGAAGTTACACTGGCCACCTTAGGAGTCACAATGGCGACTTAATAAGTCACACTGGCGACATAATACAGTAACACTGACGACCTCATACAGTTACAATGGCGACCTTATGCAGTAACACTGGCGACCTAATAATCATAAGAATTACAGTGTCGACCTAATGCAATCGCACTAGTGATCATATCGTAAACTGGTGACCGTATACAGTAACACTGGTGACCGTAAACAGTAACACTGACGACCTCATATAGTTACAATGGCGACCTTATGCAGTTACACTGGCGACCTAATAATCTTAAGAATTACAGTGGCGACCTAATACAATTGCACTAGTGACCATATACAGGTCAAACAGGTGAATGTTTACAGTAACACTGGTGACCGTATACAGCAACACTGGTGACCTAATGCAATCGCACTAGTGACCATATACAGTCAAACTGATGACCGTATAAAGTAACACTGGTGACCGTATACAGTAACACTGGTGACCTTATACAGCAACACTGATGACCATATACAGTAACACTGGTGACCGTAAGCAGTAACACTGATGACCGTATACAGTAACACTGGTGACCGTATACAGTAATACTGGTGACCATGTACAATCACACTAGAGACCTAATACAGTCATACTGGCGACATTATAAAGTTACACTGGCGACCTTAGGAGTCACACTGGCGACCTTATACAGTCACACTGGTGACCTTACATACAATTACACTGGTAGCCTAATACAGTTACACAAGATTATTATTATCATTATTATTATTATTATTATTATTTCAAGCATGCTCTTAAAGGTTTAATAATTTAAATAATAACTGAATGCGTTGCGTTTTAACGGTGTATACTCGGTTAGGATGATGGTCAAAAGTTCGATACAGCAGGCCCAAAACTCGTAGACCCTGTGGCCATTATGCCATACACTTGTTAGAAACTAGAAAACAATTGCAATGGAAATATCACACGGGTATAAATTGTCCTCTAACCTATGGACGGGAAAATGTATAACATATTTCTTAACCTGTGACCAACATGACACCGTTTTAACTTCAATGTGTGATGATTTTTAACTTAACCGGTTACGCAGTATGAAACGGCCTATTTTAAAACTGTACGCCCTTTATACAAAATGTAAATCAATGAAAAAGAATCTTAAAAAAATTAAATTGTTTTACACTTTCTGTGATAGAAACGTGTTCTTACCTTTAATTAGGACCACGCCCACTAAATTAGTTCCAAAATGCCTTTAGTCACATGTTAATTCCCTTTTGTCGATATTGTCCTGCAGAATTATGCACGCTTAAAACAGAAGTATTTTCCTTTCATACAAGACAACACTAAAATGTCGTCTGCTACTGTACACGAGATTATTTATTAAAACATACCTGAGGTCTCGTGCGTGACGGCAAGTTAAAAATAGACACGATCCAGTTTATACTTTATACTATATTGTTCAATAAAAATTCCTATCTGTGTGCTTTAAACTTAACACGCAATGAATTTATTCAAGTGTTTCAAAAAAAATGTAAACATTTGATTTGGTGTAGATCTACTCCGTATACATTTTGGTATGCAGCTTAAATATTAATGTAACGTAAATGGTTTAATTTGGTTTTAGGCAGGAGATACCTATTCCTTTAATGGTAAATTATTGATCGAAAAGCTAGTAATATCTATTTTCGTTTGAGATGTGTAATATGAATAATGGGCAGGGAACGCTATACAGTACTGCAGTGTAATACCAACGCCCAAATCGGAAGCCGATATTATAATAATGCGACAGGTGGTTTACACCCGTGTTTATCTCCCTTGCGAGTTAAATCGATTTTTTAATAACATCATGTAATATTGTGTAACCTATATACATTATACCTGAAATATTTGCTATTTTATTACATTAATGTTAATGTTAAACGTATTTAATATATAAAATGATATTAATACGCATATATTCATTATTAAATGTTGATCAATATTATATTTAATATACAAAAAGTTCTATTTCTATAATCTCTTCATTAGACATAATTACTAGTTTATTTTTTTTTCATCAAGTTAATTGGAATTTACAGCCCCACCAACCCTTGGTAAAATGGTATACAAAAGTGTAGGAAATTTCCTGATATAATAATATTATATTTACTCCGAATAAACACACGCATTCTTTTTTACTTGGGAATCATCTGCCGTTTTTCATAATTATGAATGGCACTGATAACCGCCGTACGTATGAACACATCTGCTGTTGTTTCTCAATCCAAATTTTACCATTTTCATGTTTAAATTTCATGTTTTAAATTCTGCTTAAGCCGGTACTAGGTGGGGGTGGGGGGGGGGCGTGGACAGTAGCTTGCACTTTCCAGTACAGTCCATGAACAGGCTCAATCAAACCGATAAATCAAGCCTGCGACAACTTTGGACTTCTATTTCTCTCTATTTTATGACTGTAAACAAATGATAGTTAGGAAGTTTAGTTTATGTTAGTTGTTTCAAGGGAAACATTTGAAAAGAAATGCGAATAAATCATTGCAAAGAACATCCAGCGTTTCGTCGTTAAAAACATTTTATGCCTCAGACACAATCTTTAGGGAGGGCAAACATGAGTTTCATAATGTTAATATAATAGTTGTATAGCAAGGTATTTGCTTATCACCTGAAGAAAGTAGTGCTTAATGTGAAATTGTTTGTATGAAAAGTGACAAAATGTAAACGATGTAGTATTTTGACTTCTATACAACATACTTCACCACCCTAACTATACTATTTGATATAAAAAAATCAACAGAAGCAAAATATGTTTCAGGATATTGGCTAATAATTATTTTGGAAACTATAACAGGACACCAAAAAAATATTTGTGCATCTTAATGTACATTAACAGGCTGATTATGCTTCCCTGAATGTATTCAATTTGAAGTACATTGTAATCCTATACGAGGATCTTTCTTCCTGTTGCAGTCTTTAATTTATTCATACGTGACTTTAAACGTTAAAAAAACCCATTGTTCAAAAACATTTTCGCAAATGTGAGCGAATAAATCAGTTTCTATGTAGGGAAGCCTTTTGAAAAAAAGAGCGCTACAACTTTCTGTCGTCTTGTTTGAGGTAGTTAAAATATCGCCTGTTATGATTTAAGATTGACTAAATATCTTGTTTTAGCTCGACTATGTATAAAGCTATATCTGATAAAATATTGTGTAGCTTTATCCACTACTTTGTTGAAATCAATTGTTTCGCACCATTTTATAAAAAACAATAAATGGACTCCAATAGAAAATTGAACAAAATTAAACTTTTCTCAAAACACAAGCATTAAATTTTCTGAAATACACAGTTATATTTTATGATAAATACGTACATTCATATTTTCTATTCCAGCGCACGGGAGCACGTGCATTAGTACACTGACTTATCCGATCTCTCTTCAATCTCATTTTCTTACTATCCTGTTTCGAAAAACATAACGAAAGTATGTTTTTCTTCTTAACTTTTCTCAGTTTTCTCATGCACATTTTCTTTTTTTAGATGGATATCACTAATAACACGAAGACGCCATTAGAGTCCCACTTTTAGATACAACATTCATTTCAAATATCGAAGCAGTAATCATATACTAAACAACGTGCACATTCATTAGGTACAGAGCAAACTGAAAACCTCTTTCCTTGGAGCAGAGTTAGGAAGAATTCTTCCGTGGCATAATCGAAGATTTGATGACGATAACGATAAATAATTAGTGATGACTTTAGACCGGATCGATACAAACGAGACTGTCAGGGGTATTCCAAATAGCATTTTAATTATTCAGTGGATAAGCTATTATTCATTAGGTTACCTTTTCTTTGAATCAGCATTATTTTCTTATTGTATGAGAGATGCCTAAAGATTATAGGAAATAATTAACTGGAATATATCAAATTTTACGGTCGTAAGAAATAATTTTCTACGAGTTTGATACGGAGAGGCAAAATCGGCACGGGTATGATAAATATAGCACTGTGATTAAACTTTGATTTCCTCATCCGTTTTTGGCCATAGGGACTCGGCACAGTGTTGGGGATAGTGTAAAAAAGTAATTCTAGAAAAAAAATATATAGTTTAACCCGGCACAGTGTTGGAGATTGTGTAAAAAGTAATTCTAGAAAAAAATATATAGTTTAAACCCGGCCGGATCCCTATGATTTTGTCAGATTTGAAATATGGATCATGGACAATAAATCAATCTAAATATGCCCTAAAAAGATTCGGTTACGCAAAATATATAAATTTGCAAATATTTAAAAAGAAATAACTGCGCAAGCTAGTTATCCAAATGATTACCGACTTCGCGCCTTTAAAGCCATATTTTATGTTCGTATATCCAAAAAAACAATGCATTAATGATACAAATATTCAAAATCTTTGATGACTTAATTTGGAAAAAAATCATAGTACAACCAGTATATTAAGTTTTAACCCTACGTACATTGTTCATCTGCAAGTAATATAGAGACACGTATATATAGTTTTATGTGTTCTGACACGATGCAAAAAAACAACTTTTATTTCGGTAAACTTGTTCAAAATTCATCTGTACTATGTACATGAAAATATGCTTTACTGTAGAGGAATTGTATAACTACTGTACAGAAAGAAGAAAATACATCGGGGAAACTGTAAAGCATCTGTAAACATTATTTATGACTTGTACATATAGGAAATATCTGATTAGGAAACTGTATATTTATTATAAAGGAAACGTTATAATTGCCTGTTATAACCATAGGAAATAAAGAAACCCAAGAAAACTGTCAAGTTATATTATAATTCTCATTATTATTAATAATTATCATTATTATTATCATTATTATTATTATTATTATTATTATTATCATCATTATTATTATTATTATTATTATTAATATTATTATTATTATTTTTATTATCATCATTATTATTGTTATTATTTTTATCATTATTATTATCATTATTATTATTATTGTTATTATTATTATCATTATTATTATTATTATTAAATTATTATTATTATTATTATTATTTTTTTATTATTATTATTATAATTATTAAGACCACTCGTATTTAGTGTTTTTCCCGACCGTTATCTTCTCGAAAGATATTCTTTATCCTAAAACTAATCTATATATTCCTTAAACATTTTTTACAGAAAATGTTCAATATTTATAGTGCATATATGGAGCCTGGGACCAAAACTATTTTTTGGTCCCAGATGAAGCATTATTATAAATTGTCTTCGTGGGGAAATTGTCTTATCAAATGAATATCTCCAATATCCCCGATCGCAGCTTTTCGTTCGTTTCCGTCAATCTTCGGATAAGGACCCCAGGACTAAACAGACGGACGCAGATACGCTACAGGACTAGTCCCAACCATCCGTTTAATGAAAAACATTTTTTCAACCTTTTTTATCCAATAAAAAGGGTCAGGGATATGACCATAATCCATGCTGTTGAAATCATTACCTCTTTTTTATTTTATAACTGTTGTATATGTATATAAAGTGATTTTGTAAGGTCAAGAAAGGATGGTTCCCCGACCCATAATGGTCATTTGGACATGGAGAATAAATGATGTCAACCTTATTGTTGGGGCACGAAAAAATTAAAAGACTCTAGTCAAAATGTAAGGTCGGTCGGTCGGTTGGTGGTTCTACTTGGGTGCCCGCTTGTGGCCAAATTAATGCTCGAATTGGCATTTAAGGTCTTACTCCACCAGGTAAGCTGAGGTGTCGCCATAATTATGACCTTCACAATGTCGTTATGACTTAATTAAAACTCAATATATCAAAGAAAGATCTAAGGCCTCGAGGAGACGTGTCAAATTAACAGCAATGAAAGAAAAATGTAAAAAACAACAACATTATACTCATAAAACATCAGACAAAGATTGATGGTGATTTATATCATACAATTGGTCAAAAATCATTTCAATCTTGAAATACAATAAACTACTGACCTTTTGATGATTTATTTCCCATTTTCTCTTTAAAATGTGTCAATAAATAACTGGTATCTTAACCTATATACAACTATATGTCATATATCATTGTGACACGTGCTTGCACAATTAACCAAATTTCAAAACGTTTATAAATTATTGATATCCCTTTATAAGATAACTTGGCAGTCCGGAGTTTTTGAAACACATTTTAACTATATTGAGTTTGAGAAACGTTTTATTAGATTCCGTGACATCCATGCAACTTCAATGAATCTTATCTGTGTCATAAAGAAAGCTTTTATGACCATGTAAGACATTGAAGGACTTGTCAAGTATTAGGGTGCTATGCCACTGTGTTACTGTACCATACAATACGCATTGAACCTTGATTACTTACCTGTAATAAATGAAACTT